AACAAAAAAAACAAAAAAAAACAAAACAAAAAAAAGAGTGGGAAACCGTAACACATTTTGAATACAAATCTCCCATCCTGTGAGCTGCATGAAATCCTTAGGACTGGATAAGAGGGGACTGCTGAGGGGCCTCGTGGCCCTAGGGGTTCTGGGGTTTGGGGAGCATTAGCCATGGCACAAAATCTAGCCAAAGCATCACCTTAGGAAGCAATGCATCGCTGAACAGAGCTCCCTTTTTAAATTCTGATCCTCCTGGTGTGACTTAAGGGTGACTCTAAAAGTGACTCCTTGATGTATTTGGTTGGGTTTTTTTTTTTGTTGTTTTTTTTTTTTTTTTTTTTTGTTTTTTTTTTTTTTTTTTTTGGTCTTTTTGAGACAGGGTCTCCCTGTAGCCCCAGCTGTCCTGGAATTCACTATGTAGACCAGGCTGGCCTTGAACTAACAGAGATCCTCCTGCCTCTGCCTCCCGAGTGCTGGGATTAAAGACTTGTGCCAACACACCTGGTTGATGTATTTGTTTTTTCAGAATTGTGGACACAATGATTACTTCCAGTTTCAAATCACATTTCATGTTGTTTTTCTTTGCCAGATTCGGAGGGTTTTTATTATGTCTTTCCTCCAGTCTGTAATAACAAAAGAAGGAAGAATAAATTTTAGGTAAGAAAATTAGTTGCTTGGCTCTCCTCTGGAAGTTACTGTGTGTGTATGTGTGAGTGGAAGTACTGTGACTAGAGAAATGTTCTGACTCTGAGTGTCAGGATGGGAGTGACAGTGTGACAGTGAATCCTTTAGTTGTCCTTTCTCAGGAAAGACAGGAGCATTTTGTAAGTGAGGATGCTCAGTGATTCTCAGAAAGGTGGGGTCCCTTGTCTGATATCACACTGCTAACTGTAGCAGACCCAATACTCTGTCACATTTAAAGATTTGTTTTTATTTATTTATTTATTTGTGTATGTGTATGTGGGCAGAGGTCAGAAGAGGGCATCTGATCTCTTGGAGCTGGAGTTGCAGGTGGTTGTGACTTGTAACCACTGAGTGATCTTTCTTATCCCTCTATTACATTTATTTACTTATTTAATCATTGCGAGGGTGGGAGGTAGGCTCATGCCAGTGTGCATGTAGAGGAGACAATTTGTAGGAGTTGATTCTCTCCTTCCACTGTGTTAGTCCCGGGGTTCAAACTCAGGTAGTCAGGTTTGGCAGCAAGTGCCTTAATCCCCTGAACCATCTTGCTGACCCATAGACCCAAGAGTGTAGCCCATGTCTCTGTGATTCTAACAGTATAAACTTCCCTATGGAATTTCCACCCTCTGAAGAACAACATATGAAAAATGCTTAGCACATAGCAGGCCACACAGTCAAAGTCAGTTGCTCCAAAGTTGCTGTTCCTAAACTTGGAACAGGGTACAATCTACCAGTGGGAGAATCCTCCCTGTCCCCAGTCCCTAAGGTAAAAATGGTACATGTGCCAAATGTTGTCATCAGCATTTCCTTTGTTTTGTTTTGTTTAAAGATAGGGTTTCATGTAGCCCAGGCTGGCCTGGAACTTCCTATGTAGTCAAGAATGACCTTGAACTCCTGATTTTTCTATTCCTACATCAGCAGTGCTGGGATTGGATTATAGGCATGTGCTACTACTCCTGGTTTTTATGGTACTGGGGATAGAACCCAGGGCTTCACAGTTGCTAAGCAAGCACTCTATCAACTGAGCTATACTCCCACCCTCTACCATCAACATTGCCTTTCCTCTTAATAGAACTTGGACCTGAAGGGAAATGTCTCTACTCTGGCTCAGTTTATAGGTAAGAAAACGAAGGGCTGGCATCCACCTGGGATTACCCAATGTGGCAGAAGCAGAAATGGATTTGAACCCCAGTCTCCTAACTTCTAAATACCCTTCCATTTCCCTGGTTGGGCTGCTGTCCTCTCTTAAAGAGCCTGTGGGTTAGGTTGAAAACTCCTTTATGCTTTCGGCAAACATCTTTACCAGGCTTGGGGGAAAACTCATTCAATTCTGTTACTAGAGATAATTGTTTTTAAAAACTTAAAAAAAAATTATTATTTTTATTTTATGTGTATGCGTGTATTGCCTGCATGTAGGTAAGTGCACCTGTGTTGTGCAATGCCCATGGAGGTCAGAAGAGGCTGTCGGATCCCCTAGGACTGGAGTTGAGGACAGTTGTTTGCTGCCATGTGGGTGCTGGGATTCGAACCCAGGTCTCAATAACTACGAAAGGAAAATACCTGTGGCTTTCACAGTCCTAGCAAACCAAGACACCCGCCCAGTAGTTATAAAAAAATTATTTATCTCGGGGCTGGAGAGACCGCTCAGCGGTTAAGAACACTGGTTGTTCTTGCAGAAGACCCTGCGGGTGCTTAGGAAAGAATTCCTCACCTTGGCCAGTTTCTGGTGAAGCATGCTTATGCCCAGCAGGCAATCCTTCTTGCCAAAGGTCAAGGCCTGCATCTGGTTTTGGTTTCTTTGTTTGTTTGTTTGTTTTCCTAGTATTGGAGATTGAACATAGATCCTTGGCACATGCTAAGCCAGCACTTTTATTGTAAATTTCATTTTGAGTCAGTAAGTTACACAGGTTAGTATTGAACTCACACTGCAACTCAGGCAAGCCTTGAACTTCAGGGTGTTTGGGGGTTTGTTTGTTTGTTTGTTTGTTTGTGGCAAGGTCTCCCTGTAGCCCTAGCTGTTCTGGAACTTGCTATATAGACCAGGTTGGCCTCAGTCTCACAAAGATCCTTCTGCCTCTGCCTCCCGAGTGCTGGGATTAAAGGCATGTGCCACCACTGCCTAGGCCTTGAACTTTTGGTCCTCATGCCTCTGCCTTTGGAGTAGCTGGAATTCAGGTCTATGCAACCAAGCCTGGCTTGGTTTTTGTTGTTGTTTATTTGGTTGTTTTGTTGTTTTAAGTTTTTATTTTACATTTATTTATTTGTGTGTGTGTATGTGTCTGTGTGTGTGTGTGACAGCACACATGTGGAGGTCAGAGGACAACCCTTGGGAATTAGTCCCTCCTTCTATCACATGGGCCCCAGGATGGAACCCAGGTCTTTGAGCTTGGCCACAGGCGCCTCTACTCACTGAGTCATCTTACCAGCCCATTGTTTTATTTTATTTTATTTTGGTCTTTTTGAGACAGGGTCTTCCTGTAGCCCCAGCTGACCTGGAACTCGCTATGTAGACCAGGCTGGCCTCGAACTCACAGAGATCCACCTGCCTCTGCCTCCCAAGTGCTGGGATTAAAGGCGTGCACCACCATACCTGGCCAAGCCCATTGTTTTTTTAAAAGCAGGATCTCAAAAAAAAAAAAAAAAGATAGGATTTCAGTGTGCTCTCACCTTGAACTTGAAATCCTTCTGCTTCAGCTTCCTGAGCTGGAATTATAGGCATACACCAACTCGCTCAGCTCAAAGCCAGCTTCCTTTTTAAAAACATTTTATTTTATTATTCTTATTTTATGTGTATGAGCATATTGCCTGCATGTGTATAAGTGTACCCATGCCATACAATGTCCCAAGGAGGTCAGAAGAAGGGGTCAGATTCCCTGGAACTGGAGTTACAGACAGTTGTTAGTCACCATGTGGGTGCTGGGAATCAAACCGGTCCTCTTCAAGAGCAACCACTGCTCTTAACTGCTGAGCCATTCTCCAACCCCCAAAGCCAGCATCTTTAACTCTGTTGACTGTATTCTGCCTTCTCTGTGTGTCATACAACTCTGTTTCTTTCTCATAAGGATACTTGGAATTGCATGCATGGCCTCACCTAGATACTCCAGGGTAACTTCCCCATCTCAAGATCCCTAAATAGCCTGGTCCTTTCAAGGCTTGCTATTACTCTTTGTTCGTTCATACCAGAGCAATGTTTGGACTGCATTTTCTCCACTGCTGAGTGAAAATCCTCTTCTGAGTAGTCTACCTATGTTAGTTACGAGGTTTTCTACCCTTGCTGGTAGAAAACGAGTAGCACTTGGGAGGTGAAGGCAGGAGGATCAGGACCTCAGCTACATAGTGATTTCAAGTCCAGCCTGAGCTACTTGAGATCCTGTCCCCCAAAATCAAAACAAACAAACAAAACCCTGCAGACCATTTCTCATGCTGTGAGAACTCCACAGATTGTTCTCTCTGTTCTTGTCACATAATTTTTTTCCTTGGATTCATACCAATCAGTTATTTAGCTGATAACTCCAGGAGAACTTAAGGAAGTTTCTTGCTGTAAAGGTCTCTCTTCTCCAGGTGTGTTCTCTGAAGACCGGCTGCCCTGGCCTCACAGATGCTTTTCCTCAGCTCAGGGAGTCTGCCTCCTCACCCTAGGACCTGTGAACACTCCAAGCAGTTATTAGGGGCAACCCTGGGATTGAGTGCCTTTCTCAGATCATTGTCTTTTTCTTTTAAATTTTAATTTTTATTAGTGTGTATGGGGGAGGGGTGGGCCACAGGATTCATGATCAGAGGACAACTTTCAGAAGTTAATTCTGTCCACTGTGGGTTCTAGGAATTGAACTCAGGTCCTTGCCAGCCCTCAAGGTTCACCGTCCAAACGTCTAGTGTCTTGAATGCCCTTGTTTCATGTATTCTGTGCAGGTTTTGACTTCTTCCTCTTATTCATCTTGTCCAAAATGGAAAAAAAATCTAATTTTGGAAATATTTCTAGCCAGATGGAGTAGCTCATGCCTGTAATACCAGCACTTGGGAGACTATAGCAGGGAGATTACTGTGAGTTTCAGGCTAGCCTGGGCTACATAATGAATTTGAGATCAGCCTGGGCTGCAGAGTGAGATCCTGTCTCCAAAAAATAAAAAAGAGGGTCTCTAAAAGAGATTGTTAGCAAGCCTGATAACCTGAGTTCTATCCACAGATCCCACAAGGTGGTAGGAACCAACTCCTGCAAGTTGTCCTCTGACCGCCACACACCTACAGTGGAACTCACATGCCTGCCGTCACACCTCCCACATACACACACACACACACCACCATCACCACCACCACCACTAGCAATAACAACAAAACATTTCCTTTCTTCATGGGGTCCTGGTGCACAGTGGCTACAAACAGCAACCTCCTTGGTATTGTGTGTGCCTGTTGTATATATGAGTTGTCCTAAGGGACCTTGGAGACAGTTTCCTGGTGGATATCCATATCTCTGATCTCAATGTTGTCCCCAGTCTAGGCTCCAGAGAGGTATGTGGGGATGCCTTTGGGAAGCCCCAGGGCATAATGGTTAGAGTTCACATTGGCCAGGTCATCATGTCCATCTTCACTAAGCTACAGAATAAGGAACATGTGATAGAGACTCTATTCAGGGCCAAGTTCAAGTTCCCTGGCCACCAGAAGATCCACATCTCAAAGAAGTAGGATATCACCAAGTTTAATGCAGATGAACTTGAAAACATGGAAGCTGTGAGTCAAATATGTGCCCAGTCATGGTCCCCTGGACAAGCGGTGGGCCCTGCTCTCCTCAGGGCTCCCACCATGCTGAGTCCCACACCCACCAAACCATGTTCACTAGTGAATCTCATATCTAGTCTGTCAAAAGCAAAATCCTAGCTGGGTGTGGTGGCACACACCTTTAATCCCAGCACTTGGTAGGGAGAGGCAGGCAGATCTCTGTGAAATTGACGCCAGCCTGGTCTATATTACAAGTTCCAGGCAAGCTGGGGCTACAGGGAGACCCTGCCTTGAAAAAAATAAAACAAAACAAAACAAAACAAAAAAAAACCCTAAATCCTAAAACCAGGTTCATGTTCAAATTTTCCCAATTATTTTGAAGTATCACTTAGTTGCTTTGTTTGATCTACTTAGGATGTGAAGAAACTGTACTCTCCAACAAGAAGTGGGGTTTGAGGAGGCTGGGGGGCAGGCTCTGAACAAGGATAGTCGGGGCCTAGAGTGTGAGGAAGATGGTGCCTGGCCTGGAAGCTGTACAAGGTCAATCTGAAGGAAGCCTCCTGGACACTGGTCTGACTCATCCAGAGTATAAGCCTATGGAGAAATGCCCACCTGTTCTTGCTATGAATTCCAGAAGTTAACTCATGATATTCCCCAGACAGAAAGGCCCTGGACCCTTCTCTCCATCGAGGGAGTGGTTAGTCCATCAATGTGCCGTTCCCAAATTTTCCCTGATGATTGATTCCATCTTGCTCAGAATGGCCAGCCTCTGGACTCTCATTTGTGCCACCTCTCACCATGTCGTTCTGAAAGACTGCTAGAGGACATGGGCAGAACTCTCACTCCCCCTCGCCACCCCCTGACCCTGGAGTCCAATCCTTTCTCCTCCAGGATGACTATCATGGTGCCCTAGGGCATGTGCCTGTTCCAGTGGCTAGACTGGGCATCAAAGAACAAAATAGCCACACTCTGTATTCTGAACCCTGGCCTTGGAGGAATACTTGGTGCTCCCAAGCTGAGCTGCAGATGACCTTTTAAAATCAAACCCTGCTGCCCAGTAGCCTTTCATCTGTTTCTGAGATGATGCTTTTCCTTCTTTGATGAAGCTTCAAATAAAAGCCACTACTCAGCCTGAGCTGGGTCTGACCTCAAGTCCACTTAGCCACCTAGGGGCCCTCTTGGATGTGCCAGAGAACTATTTAAAAATCACAGAGCAGAGGTGGAAGAGTCAGAAGTTGGGGGGAAAGGGGAGCAGCTGGTCCTCTTTATCCCTTCCCTCCTCCAGCAAGCCCCAGGGATCCTAGTAACAAATATGGGGAGGGGAGGAGTCGACCTTTTTAACTTCTTTATCAAACTGTTTCACCAAGCCCTCAAGAATTGGGTAAATAATCCAAAAGATCAGTTTATTCACTCTTTCATTTATTTCTTCAACACAAGCTGCTGAGTGTGTCAGGTTTGCTAGAGGCTGGGCACACAGTGGCTAAAAAACAAGGTTCCCACCTTCACAGGGCTGCAAATTCACTTGTTTAATTGGCTTCAATCAAGAAATAGAATTGAGGCTAGAGAGATGGTTCAGTAGTTAAAAGTACTCACTCAACACTCAGAAGGTAGAAGCATATGGATTGGGAACGGAAAATCACCTTCAACTACATTGTAAATTCAAGGTCAGCCTGGACTATATGAAATCCTGTCTCAAAAAGAAAAAAAAAGAAGAGGAGGAGGAGGAGGAAGAGGAAGAGGAGAGAAGCCAGACTTGCTGAATGTTCACATTAACAGAGCCACCATGCAGAGGGTTAGGGCAGTGGTGCGGCCCAATGAAACTTAGTGGTCAGTTTGATGCCCAGTGTTCCCCACTGTAGGAAGCCCTGTCTATGTCATTTCCTGCTGGTCACTCAGCCTCCAGACCCGCTCACTATAATTGGCTTTTCCTACTCTCCAGTTCCCTCAAGCCCCATTCCTTGTGTTTCCCTAGGGAGCATCACTTCTGCTCTTAGGAGATGGTTTGCACCCTGCATTTTGACTATACTTCATAGGTTTTTTTTGCAAGGTATCGCTGTTTTATTTTTTAATATTTTTTATTTTATGTGTATGAGTGAGTGTATTGCCTGCTTGTGTGTAAGTGCACCCAAGGTATGCAGTGCCTGAGGAAGTCAGCAGAGGGCATCAGATCCCCTGGAACTGGAGTAATGGACAGTTGTTAGCCACCATGTGGGATTCTAACCCGGGTCTTCTGCAAGAGCAGTCTGTGCTCTTAACCACTGAGTCATCATCTCTCCAGCCCCATCTCTAAGAGTTTATATCTATTCCCGCTGTCACAAAAAGAAAGCTTAAAGTGTGTGGCTGACAAATGGTGGAAATTTGTTCTAGAAAGTCTATAAGTCCAAACTGAAGCATTCTTGATTTGATATCTGCTGAGGGCTCACTTTTTTCTTGCAAGATGGTGACTTGAACAGGAGAGGAGTATGGGTCAGTGGTAGAGTATCAAATATGTACAAGGCCCTGGATTCAATCCCCAGCATGGCAAAAAAAAGGAGCAGGAGGAGGAGGAAGAGGAGGAGGGGGGAGGGGGAGGGGGAGAAGGAGGAGGAGAAAAGAATAAAGGAAGGAAAAGATGCATTCTCTGGGAGGAATAATGACTAACAGGGCAAAAAAGACAAGCTCCCTCAAGCACCCCACTCCCTTTCTTTAAAGCTCCAGAACCATTTTATTAGAATTTATGGGGAAACAAACAACTGGTTGGGCAAGCTGTAAATCTCCCGCAGCTGCTGGGGAAAGTGAGATGGAGAAGAAGAGAAGAGCCATGGCTTTTGGCTCAGGCTCCAGGAAAGCAGGCAGCTTACAATGAAAGTAACACATAGCTACATTGGTTGGGAGGGTCTCCAAAGCAAAAACAGAAAAAGAGAAAAGGAAAGAAACGCTTTTTGTTGTTTTTTTTTGAGACAGGGTCTCCCTGTAGCCCCAGCTGGCCTGGAACTCACTATGTAGAGCAGACTGGCCTTGAACTCACAGAGATCCACCTGCCTCTGCCTCTGGAGTGCTGGGATTAAAGGTGTGTGCCACCACACCTGGCTCAGGGCTGTACCTTTTAAAAATTATAAAATTAAAAAAAAAAAGTTGGGCATGGTGGTGCACACCTTTGATCCCAGCACTTGGGAGGCGGAGGCAGGCGGATCTCTGTGAGTTCAAGGCCAGTCTGCTCTACATAGTGAGTGCCAGGCCAGCTGGAACTCAAAAAAACAAAAACAAAAAACAAAACAAAACAAAAAAAATACAAAAAAGCTTGTCACTGTCTCAAAACAAAGAAAAACAAAGCAAAAGAGTAGTTTCTTACTTTGACCACAAGGGAGTGCTACTGGGCTGAGTAACAAATTGGGGAGTTATAGACATTATGAACTTAAATGCTCAAAGTGGGCGTGGTGGCGCATGCCTTTGATCCCAACGCTTGGGAGGCAGAGGCTGGCGGATCTCTGTGAGTTCAAGGCCAGCCTGGTCTACATAGTGAGATCCAGGACTGCTGGGACTACAGGGAGACACTGTCTCAAAAAGACCAAAAGAAAGAAAGAAATGCTCAAGGGCTCAGGGATTGGGAGCACTGGCTGCTCTTGCAGAGGACCTGGGTTCAAGTCCCAGCACCACATGGCAGCTGGCAACCATCTATAACTCCAGTTCCAGGGGATCCAGCACCTGCCGCTGGCATTGCACCACACAGGTGCACTTGCACATATGCAGGCAATGCACTCATAGACATTTAAAAGTAAATGCTCAAGGGCTGCAAAGTGGCATATGCCTTTGATCCCTGTCTCAAAAAGACCAAAAAAAAAAAAAAAAAAAAAGGTAAATAATAAATAGAAAGATTAATAAAAGAGCCTATACGTAATGAAGCATTTGCAAATGAAATAATATCTAGAATTTGTTTTAAAATAACTGAGTTGGGAACTTGGAGAAATGGCTCAACAGTTAAGAGCACTGGCTGCTCTTGCAGAGAACCTAGGTTTGGTTCCCAGCACCCACATGGCAGCTAACAACCATCTGTAACTCCAGTTCCAGGGTATCCAATGCTCTCTCCTGGCCTCCACAGGCATTACATGTCATAGGTGCACTTATATACATGCAAACAAAATACGTATACATATAAAAATAAATACATAACTTTAAAAAACAACAAAAAATAAAAATAACAGTTGAGTTAGGCATGGTGACACACATCTGTAATCCCAGACAGAGCTGAAGAGGCAAAGGAAGGAGGATTGACTCTCGGAGGACAGTCTGGGTTACATATGGAAAGATTGTCTCAAAGATCATCATCTTCTTCATCTAAATGAGGGAGGGGTATGGGATGGAAAGAATATCAAACCTGTTACTTGTTGACAATGAAGTTCTGTTATCCTGTGTGTGTGTGTGTGTGTGTGTGTGTGTGTGTGTGTGTGTGTGAGTGTGTGTGTGAAAACATCTACCCTCCAACTTTAAGATACAGCTATAAAAAATACTTATAGTCTAGGGAAGGGCAGTAGTCCTCCTGTCACAGCCTCCACAGTGCTGGGGTTACAGGCTTATGTGGCCAAGCCCAGCTTTTTACATGGGTGCTAGGGACTCTAATTCAGGTCCTTATGCTTCTATAACAAGCACTCTTACCCACCTGAGTCCTGGTTGTTTGGTTTTGTTTGGTGACAGAGTCTCAAATATATTGCCCAGGTTGGCCTCCAATTCCTTATATCACCAAAGCTGACCTTGAAT